AGAGTGCCGAGAGTAGGACCATGATTTAAGTACTTGGATTATTGTTTTGTTAGTGGATTTTATTAGTGGACTTGGTGGACATTTTCATATGAGGACTATTTATTTTTATGGATTTTGGCATTATGACAATTAAGGATTTAATTTGAGTATTTTATTTTGTGGGTTATGTGATTGGATTCTTAGCCTTGCATGCTTACTTATATGAGTGTGCGGCGTTGTCACAGAGCTTGGGGCGTGACAGCATACCTACTAATTTTTGTCAGTTAAACAACATTCAAATCTTGGATCTATCTCTAAATAATATTTCAGGGACCATACCAATGTGCCTTGACAACTTTTTGGCAATGACTCAGACTCAGAGATTGATCCAACCAGTTATGTTATTTATGATCAAACTTAAACCATCCGGGATGGTGAAGAAGGTTATTACAGCCCCCATTATGTCCTCAGTGCATTGTTGGCATGGAAAGGTAGGGAATATGAGGACAAAAATACTCTGGGACTTGTGAAGAGCATTGATCTCTCAAGCAATAAGTTAACCGGAGAAATTGCCAGTAACATTACGCATCTTGTTGGTCTGGTTGCCATGAACTTCTCAAGAAACAGGCTAACTGGACCAATGCCTGCAGAAATTGGTGACTTGAAATTGTTAGAATCTCTTGATTTGTCCAGAAACCAGCTTTCTGGGGGAATTCCTATAAGCCTTTCAAATTTAAATTTTCTTAGTCACTTGGACTTTTCAGACAACAACTTGTCAGGAAAAATCCCATCAAGCACTCAACTGCACATCTTGGATAATTCAACATTTGTTGGAAATCCTGAACTATGTGGGGCACCACTTACAAAAGTGTGCCCAGGAGATGAAGCACCTCAGAATCCAAAAGGACCAGATGGCACTTATGGCCTAGATAATCAAGTTCATAACCACAGGATTTTATGTCAGCATGGGGCTTGGATTTACTTTTGGGTTCTGCGGAGTCTTTGGCAGCTTAATACTCAACAGAACTTGGAGACATGCTTATTTCCAATTTTTGATGAACAGAATAGATTGGGTCTATGTAGCTACAGCTTTGAATACTGCGAGATTGCGCACAAGGCTTTGAATCTAAATGGTATTACATTTCTACTTATTCCTATTTTATCTACACATTAGGTTCTGTTAACATATTCACACAAGTCTGTTTCAAAATTGGGCACTAAAACCTGCACACATTGCTGGGTATGATTTCTTCAGTCCCTTAGGTTCCCTAGACATTCTAGGGCTCACCATTTATGAGAATATGCCTCTTAAGTCACCAATTGTCCCAAAAGATTAAATTGTTAGGAAATGAGTTCAACAATATATATGAAGTTATCCAACACCCTTCATCATATGCAATTTTGTTTTGAAGGTGGAGACACAAACAAAGAATTGAACATAAAGGCATGTCTGACATTACCTTTTGTTAGATCCTAGGTGAACTCTAAAAATGAGACCTCTATACATATTAAAAATATATTGGTAAAACGGTATGTATGCATTTTTTTAAAAAAAATAAATCTAATAGCACCCACACAAAGTTTGTTTTGCACATATATTCATTATAATTATTCTTAAATTTTTTATTTTATAGATTAAGATAAGGTAAGATGAAATTATTATGAGAACTCAAAAAGATAAAAATATGGCCTTATTGGTTACTAGTTTAAGATCCAATTTACAATAACAAAAACAAAAATGTACATAAAAAAATTAAAATTATAATATCAAATAAAAAATAAACCAAAATATCACTTAAACTTCTCTTTTTTTAGCTACGAAATTACTGATCGACAGACAATAGATAACAAATATATGCTTGATAAACTGTTCTTGACTTTTTATTTTTATTTTTTGGTCACAGATAGATGATGGACTGACATGTAGCTGGATTTGGGACATTTATTTTGTATTTGATGTTACTTTACAGTTTTGTTTGAACATTTGTATTGTATTTAAATATTCTAATACATTTGAACATTCTTAGTCTTTTTTTTTTTTTTTTAAAATTTAATATTTGGTTTTAATTTGAACATCCAAATATGATAATATAATAAGAAAACATCCACACACACACACACAAAAACATTTACTTTAGCTATTACATTATTACTCAATAATTTCTACAGAAAACAAAACAAACATTGAAAAACAAATTGGATTAAAAGTTTGGCCATGTTTGGTAGAGCTTATTTCCAGCTTATTTTAGCTTTTAGCTTAATTTAAGCTATTTTAATGTGTTTGGTTCAGCTGAACAATACAGCTTATAGCTTTTTGTAAGTCAAAAATCAACTTATTCTTTGAGTGGGGGAGGAGAAACTTAATTTATAAGTCAAAAATCAACTTATGTTCACAGGTATAAGCTATAAGCTGTTAGGTTATAAGTTATAATCACTTTCCCACAGCTCTACCGAACGGGGCCTTTATGTAGAATACCCAGATTTTGAATGAAGCAGTGTGAAAAATTCGAGGGACGAAATTAAACTAATCGATCCAAAATTTAGGACTTCTGGTGATCTTCTTCTTCCTCTCTATCTCTACCAAAGAAACCAACTTCAACTTCAAGCATTTCGCTGCTGATCCAAAAGTCGAAAAGCAGAAATTAGGTCTGAAATCTGAATCACTGACTTCGTTTTACAATTTTTTTTATTATATAGAAAACATTTAACATATTTATATTTATTTTTAATAAAAATGAAAATATACAAAAAAGAAAAAAGAAAAGGTATAAAATTAAATTAGTAAATTTGTATCTAAAATGAGAAAAATGAATCTCAAATTAAAAATTTATGATAAATTACACTAACCTCCATAATAGAAAATATCACAAGGGTTTGGCATAAATACATTGAACTTCCTTAAATTTTAATTTACAAAACACTTGAAAGAAAATCAAATACAACTTCCATGATGATGATGATGATGATGATGATGATGATAATATTAAAACAAATACCCAAGAACCCATCAACCTTCACAACCAAGCAAAGACTTCAAGAGCTACAACTATGATCAGAGATATTGGATGCCTTCGCAAATGACACCAAACTAGGAAGAAAATAGACAACATGCAAAAAAGAAGCTTTTGCTTCACAAATTCAAATTTAAAAAGTAAATAAATTACATTTAGTTGCCATTTAGTATAATATATAGCACAAGGGATGTGTTGGATCATCCCATGTGAGCTCCCATTGGAGAACCCACTTTCTCCACCCAATGGAAGTGGCTCTCCCACTCTACCAACCCCACTAGAGAGTGGAAGAGGGTAGGTGGTGACCAATGAGGCTCTCCCTCTTTGGTGTATAAATAGAGGTTGAGGGGAGAGTTGAAATCATCAGAAATTGAGTGTGAGAGCTGTGAGTTGAGTGAGTTTCATCTCCTCCTCTGTATTTGTATTTTTGCTCCATTTTAGTGATAATTCTCATTTCTGTCCGTGGATGTAGGCATTGGGCCGAACCACGTAAATATTGTGTTCTCTGTGTGTGTGAGATAATTCTCTGGGTGTCTTTGATCCTAACAGTACCAGTCCAAGATCGCACGGAACAAAGCCTTGATAATGAGAAGGCTTATAAACCTGAAGCTGAAGAATGGTGTGTCTGTTGCTGAACACACCAGTGAATTCCACAGCCTTGTGAACCAGCTTGCATCAATCAAAATGGAGTTGGAGGATGAGATGCAAGCATTATTATTACTCAGTTCCTTACCAGACAGCTGGGAGACGTTGGTGGTTTCTCTCAGTAATTCTGCACCCGAAGGGAAGCTGACCATGGGGATGGTCACAGACGCCTTATTCAACGAGGAGGCAAGGAAGAAAGAGATGGAAGGAGAGCAGTCCCATGCCCTTGTCACAGAAAGTAGAGGCAGAGATAGAGAAAGGGGCAGAGGTAGAGGAAGAAGTAAAAGCAGAGGGCGTTCACAGTCCAGACAGGACAACACGAGGAGGTGTTTTTACTGTGATCAAGAGGATCACGTAATAAGAGATTGCCCAGAGAAAGTTGCTGCCCGTCCTAGTTCGGAAGTCCCACAAGAAGTCAAAAGAATTTTTTGTTTTATTTTATTATTACTTATCTTGGTAAGGACACTTGAATTTTTTAGACTGTTTAATAATTTTTCAACAACTTTTAATGAGTTTGGAGCGGCAAATTAATATTAGAATTTCAAATCATCATAAGAAAGTACGATGTCTACATAAAATCCATTATTCAATTAAACTCTATAATTTTGGATGGTGAATCTACATAAAATCCATTATTCAATTAAACTCTATAATTTTGGATGGTGAATCTACATAAAATCCATTATTCAATTAAACTCTATAATTTTGGATGGTGAATCTACATAAAATCCATTATTCAATTAAACTCTATAATTTTGGATGGTGAATCTACATAAAATCCATTATTCAATTAAACTCTATAATTTTGGATGGTGAATCTACATAAAATCCATTATTCAATTAAACTCTATAATTTTGGATGGTGAATCTACATAAAATCCATTATTCAATTAAACTCTATAATTTTGGATGGTGAATCTACATAAAATCCATTATTCAATTAAACTCTATAATTTTGGATGGTGAATCTACATAAAATCCATTATTCAATTAAACTCTATAATTTTGGATGGTGAATCTACATAAAATCCATTATTCAATTAAACTCTATAATTTTGGATGGTGAATCTACATAAAATCCATTATTCAATTAAACTCTATAATTTTGGATGGTGAATCTACATAAAATCCATTATTCAATTAAACTCTATAATTTTGGATGGTGAATCTACATAAAATCCATTATTCAATTAAACTCTATAATTTTGGATGGTGAATCTACATAAAATCCATTATTCAATTAAACTCTATAATTTTGGATGGTGAATCTACATAAAATCCATTATTCAATTAAACTCTATAATTTTGGATGGTGAATCTACATAAAATCCATTATTCAATTAAACTCTATAATTTTGGATGGTGAATCTACATAAAATCCATTATTCAATTAAACTCTATAATTTTGGATGGTGAATCTACATAAAATCCATTATTCAATTAAACTCTATAATTTTGGATGGTGAATCTACATAAAATCCATTATTCAATTAAACTCTATAATTTTGGATGGTGAATCTACATAAAATCCATTATTCAATTAAACTCTATAATTTTGGATGGTGAATCTACATAAAATCCATTATTCAATTAAACTCTATAATTTTGGATGGTGAATCTACATAAAATCCATTATTCAATTAAACTCTATAATTTTGGATGGTGAATCTACATAATTTGATGCAATAATGTATATGAAGTTATCCAACCCCCTTCATCATATGCAATCCTGTTTTGTAGGTGGAGAGACAAACAAAGAATTGAACAAAAAGGCCTGTCTGACCTTATCTTTTGCTAGACGCTAGGTGAATTCTAAAAATGAGACCTCTATACATATTAAAAATATATTGGTAAAATGGTATGTATGCACTTTTTCTTTTTTTTTTCTTTATAAATCTAGTAGCACCCACACAAAATTTGTTTTGCATATATATTCAATATAATTATTTTTAAATTTTATTTTATAGATTAAGATAAGGTAAGATGAAATTATTATAAGAACTCAAAAAGATAAAAATATGGCCTTATTGGTTAATAGTTTAAAATCCAATTTACAATAACAGAAACAAAAATGTACAAAAAAAATTAAAACTATAATATCAAATAAAAAATAAACCAAAACATCACTTACTTTTCTCTTGTTTAGCTACAAAATTACTAATGGACAGACAATAGATAACAAATATATGTTTGATAAACTGTTCTTGACTTTCTATTTTTATTTTTTTTGGTCACAGATAGATGATGGACTGACATGTAGCTGGATTTGGGACATTTATTTTGTATTTGATGTTACTTTACAGTTTTGTTTGAACATTTGTATTGTATTTAAATATTTTAATACATTTGAACATTCTTAGTTTTTATTTATTTATTTAATATTTAGTTTTAATTTGAACATCCAAATATGATAATATAATAAGAAAACATCCCCCACACACACACACACACACACACAAAACAAAACATTTACTTTAGCTATTACATTATCACTCAATAATTTCTACAGAAAACGAAACAAACATTGAAAAACAAATTAGATTAAAAGTTTATGCAGAATACCCAGATTTTGAATGAAGCAGAGGGACGAAACTAAACTAACCGATTTGGAATTTAGGACTTCTTGTGATTTTCTTCTTCTTCCTCTCTATCTCTACCAAAGAAACCAACTTCAACCTCAAGCACTTCGCTGCTAATCCCAAAGTCAAAATGCAAAAATTAGGGCTGAAATCTAAATCGCTGACTTCGTTTTACAATTTTTTTTTTTAATATATATATAGAAAACATTTAACATACTTATATTTATTTTTAGTAAAAATGAAAAATTTTTAAAAAAAAAGTATAAAATTAAATTAGTAATTTCGCATCTAAAAAGATGAAAAATATGAATCTCAAATTAAAAATTTATGATGAATTACACTAACCTCCATTAAAATTAAGAGGAAATATTACAAGGGTTTGGCATAAATACATTGAACTTCCTTAAATTTTAATTTACACGACACTTGAAAGAAATCAAATACAACTTAGATGATGATGATGATAAAAATATTAAAACAAATACCCATGAACCCATCAACCTCCACAACCAACCAAAGATTTCAAGAGCTACAGCTATGATCAGAGATATTGGATGCCTTTGCAAATGACACCAAACTAGGAAGAAAATAGACAACAAGCAAAAAAGAAGCTTTTGCTTCACAAATTCAAATTTAAAAAATAAATAAATTACATTTAGTTGCCATTTAGTACAATATATAGCACAAAGGATGTTCTCGATTCTATATTTGATGATACCCTTCATATATCCAGCTGGTCAAGGTTGATCATGCTTGCAGAGCTCTGTATAAGTTCCTTCCTATAATCCACCTAAAACAGAAAGCATAAGAGGAATTGATTATCTTCATGAACAAGGCTACTAGATTATATAGTCAAAAAGATTTAAAAACCACCACAAACCACCCTTTTTTTCTTTTCTATTGCGATTTCTGGATTATTATATGATTGTTTTTTAACTTTCCATATAAGGAGTGAGACTAGAAATGACACTTGTAATGTTAATGACAACAAAGGGAATTGTATCTAGCAATAAGATAGATTTCTCAAGGCAATTGAGAAGCCTAATCATTTACAATCTAAGAAGCACAGACACTTAGGAGAAGGCAACGTGTTGTGTCCAATACCAATACGACACAACACTCGTTAGACACTTCTCAACACTAAGACACACATAAAACATATTACAAATTTGAATAAAATGACTTGAAATCTAAATAATAAAACAAAAAAGTAAATTTATAATTATCCTGCTCCTTCAAACTTTAAAATTTATTATATTTTACTTAAATATTTATATATATGACTTCTTCTTCTTTTTTTTTTTTCGCACCGGAGCGTCCAGATCAAAGCTCAACTAATCCTTATGGGTGCACAAGTCCTGGCAAGGAGTTTTCCGCAAGTACACCATGGTAAATTCAAGGGTTTTCCCAGTCCGATTGCCACAAAGAATTGTTAGCACCTAAAAGGTTTCAATCCCTGAACCTTCGGGGGAGCACACTCCCAAGAATTAAGACCTTACCACCAGACCAACCCCTTAGGGTTATATATATATGACATATAATAATTATTTATCCCTATATGACATATTTTGCATTTGTCGTGTCCTATATTTAAAAAAAAAAAAAATCGTGTCAGCATATCTATTTTGTGTTCATGTCCATGCTTCTTAGCTTGTAAACTATATTATATGGCAAGAAAAGTTGCAATACAATTTCCCACTAACAAAAGACCCACGTGTCTCCCTCTCCATAAATGTGGATATATATAATTGTCACGAGTATTAGATGCAAGACCCGCAACATAAGCTACATGCATGATTTGCATACCCGGGAACCCATAAGAGAGGAGAAAACAACATTCGCTCCTGCTGCATCCTCTATCATTAATTGCTTTAGCAGTCTTTCTCTGGATCCAATGTTGTTTCCCATAATTGTAAAGGCATCATCTCCCCCAAACTTGTGTCCCATTCAATTGCGGTGTATGTCACATTTCATTAAAAAAAAATTACATTCGCTAAGAAAGGGATCAAAATAGAAAGGATTTGCAGAGCCCTCAGGCACCAAAAATATCAAATTTTTTATTTTTGGATCATACCTTTGAACCTCTGAATGTTATAAGATGCATTTGAAGGGAAGGAACTCTGTAACTGTTTTAGTTCTGCATCAACATAGCAATAATATGCTTTCTTTCCCCTCTCAACCTGATTATTTTGACAAGAGAGAACAAACTTTTGTGAAGTTACTAGAACATTTTTTCAATTGGACCCATCAAATTTGAAAGCACACCTTGTATAAGGGCGGCATGCCAACATAAATGCAACCTTCATCAAATAAAGCTCTCTGCAAGGAACAAAAACTAAATAAACCAAACTGCTTTTGAATTTTTTAGGCATTTCAAGAAATTTTTTTTTTCTTTCTTCTTTTTTTTAGACCAACAAAATTTTATAGATGATTATCTCAACTACCTACCTGATATCTAAAGAAAAATGTCAATAGCTGTTGGAAAATTTGGTTTTTATAAGCTTATTTTGGGCCCACTTTGAGCCCAAAATAGAGTGGGTCCCAAACGTCTTTTGGCGTGGGTCTAAAGAGGTGACGTGTTCCTTGCCGCATGGCAAGTCACATAGTGAAGACGGTTCTTCAAAACCATTTATGAGTGAATGGAAAGTTGATGTCGTTTTCGGGTTCGTAGAATTGGACATTTAAAGAATTAAATGTAGGTTTCTTTGTAAGGCTTGTTCCACATTGAAACTTTAAGAAAGCTTGTGTAGGTATATAAGCTCTAGGTGGCAACACTTGGGTTGGGCCCCAAGGGGCACCCCAAGTTTGTAGAAGGGAGGAGTTATGGACAAATGGAACTTTGGCTCAAACCACCACGTACGCTCCACCGCCGTGCCGGGCGCAGGTAGCAGTTATAGCAGTTATCTGTCCAAAACTGCCAGCAGATCTGTTGCAGTTGGAAGCAGTTATCTGTTCGAAATTTGAATCATATCTGTTGCACCTGTTCATTCAATTTTCACCCCTGTTCGGACAGAATTGTTTGCCTATAAATAGAGGCCATTTCTAGCAGTCTTGGCATCCAAAAATGTACTGAAAAATTCATTTTCTTGCTGTCCAATTTTTGTTCTTTTGCATATATCATTTTAGGAAAAAAAAATTAGAGAGTGTAGAACACAGGTTCTAGCTCGCCGTACAAATTGTTTGGAGTGTTACTACAATTTGTAAAGATCATTGTATCCTAGGAGATAGACACCTTTTATCCGTAAGCACCATAGCGGGGTGAATCTATCTTAAGGACAGAGTGTCACACACTCGATTTGATCTTTTAAATATTTTTTTGGTTCGGTAAATAAATTCGGTACGTAATTTATTGTATTTGTTTGATTTGTTTCAATTTATTTATTTTACACAGAAGATTGTTCCAACAATAGCAAAGTTCGGATGTGAGCATCATCCGCATAAGCATCTGTCAAGATTATAATTTTATGATAGCGGAGAGCTTTCTTTTTAAAATCCTCTCCCTAAAATCAGTAAAATTCAGTCAACAAAATAGGTGAAGCATCTGAAAAGAAAGGAACTAAGATTTTGAAGATTATAATTAAATAACCTTTACTCCAAGTCCCAGACCAAAAATAAGATTTTGAATCTCTTCATTCTTATACATTGCTGCTTTGTCCTTTCTTTCAATGTTCAAAATTTTAACCCTGAAGGGAAGAACAGCCCGCATCAGGCCACAAATAGGTATGTTTTAGTAGTCAGTACTGTTATAGATTTCTTGAAGAATAATGCATTTAGAAGCTATGATGATTGAGAAATAAGTACAAAGAAGGACATGTCCTGCACAAGTTAAACTAAAGTTCCCTCACTTAAATTATGATTTTTTCATTCAAAACTTCAAGTTTACAAGAAGCATGAAGCATATTCCGTTACACAAAACATTATCAATCATTGGCACATATTCCACACAATTTATATGGCACATGAGAGAGAGAGAGAGAGGTCAAAAAATTTCATAGACACTCCTCGGACACGGACACATGACACATTGGGACACGTGTGGACACGCCACATGGCATGTTTAATTTTTAATATTTTTCTTTGGACATGTTGGGGACACCTCCGGACATGTTTGTAATACTAACTAGGACACCTCTTATCTCTCTTCAACTTGAGTACCAAATACTAACTAGATATTATTAGCAATTA